TTTACTTATTGGAACCAAAATACAGTGGGATCCCTCTGAGACCATTTGCATTTTTCTAATGTAATACAAAGTTTTCATTCAAATTATTCAATTATATATTATAAAAAATTGAGAGAAAAGTTTAATTAAACAATGCAGGTAATGTGGCCAATGTCACTAATTAACGTAATTATATAATTATTAAGTAATGTTATATATTACATATGAATATACTACATTCAAATACATTAAATATTTCTCATCAATTTTACATAATTCTTGCAGGTTAGATTGAAATTATGTTTTTGATCTTAGATTGTCAATGTGAACTTAAGCACTAAAACATACATTAGGAAGACCCTAGCAAGTACTGTACCACTGTCTGCAAATACCCTTGATACCCTGTTTGTGGTTTTCATGCAAATTCAGTTACAGTTGCTAGTTATGGAAATCAATCAATCAATCTGTAATCCCAGAAGAGTTGTATGCCAGTAGAGTATGATTGTTGGAGATTTTTGATTATTCATCAGACAACGTGTGAAAAATGAATTAGAAAAATAGACTCGTTCTGTTTGAGTAAACAAGTGGACACTGTAAAAACTCTAACTTGTTAGTCCGCAGGTCTTTATGGATGCCTCCAGATGCTCTTTGAAGACATTCACTACCTTGGCTGGCACAATATCACCCTCAATGATCATGCGGGCATCATGCCACTCCTGACTCGGATTGACAAAACTCTCCAGCTCCAGCCACTGCTGGAGCTTCTCTGGCTCGCGGACCGGTGAGAGGAGACGAGACCCGCTCTGTGTGTAGTACCGCCACTGACGTGTTCGCCTCTCCTTATAGCCCATCAGGCCCTGTAGGGGCACCGAGATCAGGAACAGAGTTGGGGTGAGCACCTGCCAAAATGAGCCAAACAGCTATTAGTATATACACAAAGCAATGAAAATCAGCTGTACAGTTTTACCATTAAAACGTTTACTTCTACATGTTACAGTACAACAGTTAAAATGATACCACCCTTACATTAAGAAAATATAATAAATTACATATTAACAGTCAATATATTAAATGATTTAATATATATGAAAATATACAGATTAATATCTGTATCTATATATCTATAATATCTATATCAGGTTAATATATTACAATACATTGAATATTACTTGGGGAATTGTATATTGTATATATATTGTCACATGTACAAATATGTGACAATATATTTTCTTATATATCATATGTAATTTAATATTAATCAAAACACTTCATAATATATAGATGTATATATGTGTGTATAAACATATGTGTGTGTGTGTGTGTATACATATATATATATATATATATATATATATGTGTGTGTGTGTGTGTGTGTGTATATATATATATATATATTTTTCCACATTCACATTTATATTATGTGCCATGACTTGCCAACAAAACATCCAACTGTCCAAAAATATTAATATTTGTTTCCAGTAAACACTTTTTTCTTGTACACAGTCACACATATTTTCATATATGAAATTTGTAACTATGCCAACAATGAAGATAAAAGTTTATGAATATGTGTTTAGCTTTATGCAAACTCATACGTTAACTCATGAAAGGAAAATGAATTAAATGAGTGTTTAAATAAAGCTATTAAAAGTAAAAATGTAGTGCCGTTTTGTTTTCATTGCTATATTTTTTTTTTATATGCATCAATATATAGCCATACATGGTCCATTCATATATTGCAGTATATTGAAAAATATTTTTGTTTCGTAAAGGATATAGCTGACAGTTTTGTTGCTTACTTGGATGGCGGGGTTGTATGCACATCTTCCCCGGAGTAATGCAGACCAGTTTGACACTAAATCTGGCTGGTCCTAAATAGGATTGTGGACACCAGAGTAGTTACGATGTTACAAAAGAAGCCATAATTAAAATGCAGTTAGTCATTGTATAATAGACAAGAGGCCTATATGAAGTATTACTTTGAGGCTGGCATTATGAACTCCAGAGTTTGCAATAGACTGGAAACGAGCATCCTTTGAGCTGACCCCAGCTGTAAGATCTTTTATGATTTTCTGCACATCTTCTACAGACTTTGAAACCTGACGATGCCTGAGATCCACCTGACAATAACACATTCGACCACCATTACCATATCAGAACAAAATTAGCATTTTGTAAACAAGCCAACGCAATCACCCTTTACTTTGAGCTATCTGAATAAAATAAAACAATAAAATAAAAATAAAAAATAAAAATAAAAATACATATATGTTTTTTATCCTTTATATAAGATATAAAAGATATTCTTTAAGCTGACTGCAAATAAAATAAACACCATAAATCAGTTAAAGTTAATACTTTAGTCTGGCTTAGGTCTCAGTATCCATGGCAGCATAAATAGGTCACCTGATTTTGCAAATAGTTGTCCAGATCTTCATCTGTGAAGTTGGTCATTTTGCAGTCTATCCTTAGAATCAGTTCTCTTTGAATGCTATTTTTAAGCCTTCTTTTCAGCTGCACAGCTAGATGTAAGGATTTCTGTGCCCCTTTTTTGTGGTTCTTTTGTGTCCCCGTGTACGTGTGACACAGATTGTGTGAGGGAAAAGCACTTCAACAGAGACCCATTGATCTCACAATATTGATTTCTGAGATGCTAAAAAGCTCTCATGGTCCTCTGGGCAAACGAGTTCACCAATTGCTTACTCACATGGCAGATCACACTCACAGAGAAATTTGAATGTAAACATCTGTTTCATTTTAATCTAGTGGAATATACAAATATGCAACTGGATCCCACTTACTTCTTTCGAAATTATGCCTTTATATCAGTTTATATATATCCAATTAATATAAACAAATTTTAGAAACAACATCAAATAGAGGCCATTTTATATATGAGATTATATATAATTATATCCAGCTTTGAAGTCCAAAATTGGGGACATACATTGGAGTCCAAAAATTTGAGACCAGTTTGAAACCTGGATTTTAAACAATTAAAGAAAGACAAAACCCTGGAAGTTAACAATTAATTTTGGAAATAAAGAAGGTTTAAAAAAAATTTATAATAATAATTCTAGAGTTCATGGAGTGGCATTACCGCAAAAGATGGACAAACAAAAGACCTCTCAGTATGTCATAAATTCATTCACCACAATTCACTACATGTGCATAAATTGGTAGGCTTCTAAAACAGTACAATTTAGGAAAGGTCATGTGATCAACTTGACAATATGGAAAAAGACTTGCAATCACTTGCAGGCCACCCATTAACACACATTAACCTTCTGCAGTCCATGCTGGAGAGAAAGTGAACGTCTTTTGGGTCTGGCTAATTAATTGCAATACCAATTCAATAACATAATAAACATCACTTATGCAATTAGGTGGAAAAAAAACACCTTAAACCAACCTGAATGTCTTGCTGATCTTGCTAGTCTCACAGAATAGGCAGACTTTCACCAGACTCTGCAAAGATGATAGCAGCAGATGCCCTGCACAGTAGATGAAACAGTGCATTTTCAAATTGTATTATTTAAGGAGAAAGAAGCCTAAGTTATGAGAATGTCCCTTCAATGTGGCTGTTAAGATTTGTCGCCACCTAAAGGACAAATTCTACAACGCGCTTTGCCCGGAAAACAGTGACTACATTTCCCCGCATTCTGTTCGACATTAATATATAACAACAAACCCCAGTGCACATATTCAAACCACAAAGACATGCTGACCTTTCTGACTCTGCAGTGGCGAAATCCGTGCTAAATCAGTGAGGTATGCCCTTGCTATATATTGTTCGTGTTGTATTTATTCTGCATTATCGAAAGTGTTCATGTTTGACATGCAGGCTAGTTTGGAACATTAGCTTTTATGCTACAGCAAACTTGACACACTGGAGTATTTTGTGGGCAAATCAAACATGTCTATCGTAATCATCTAGAGACACTATAGCCCACGAGATATTATTGCCAAAGCTTTAAGATCTGACGTAGCAAGAAACGAATATGATCTAGCAAGTCATAAACCTATTTATGAAATGTAAATACAAATGAGCCCTAATTTTGATTGGCAGTTCTTCCGCCAAAATAAAAGCTCCATGGTTTAACTTTTGAAAATAAATACTAGTGGTGTAATTTTACAGTTGTGTTGTAAAATAAAATTACTAATATTCTTAGAAATACTGGATGTTTTTTGTTTTTTTACAGTGAAATAGTGCAATAGTAAAATTGTATTTATTTATATATTTACTTTATTTTAGTCATATTGATATATAATTCAAATTTTTTTGCCCTACAATCAAGCACAGCAAACCTGGAGCACTATCTATCTATCTATCTATCTATCTGTCTATCTATCTATCTATCTCTCTGTCTGTCTGTCTGTCTTGTCAGTCTAGCATTTGGACACTTTCTGGTGTTTGGTTTGATCATTTCTTTCTAAAGAAGTGAAATTCATACACAAGAGTTACTCTGATTTAATTTGAATTTGTTCAACTCAGTTTAGCTTTATTTTGTCTGTCCCTTATATTTATTTGCTGTTTGCATATAGGCACAATGAGCTGCTGGATGTTGTTACGATTGCACAACGGGGACCTCCGCAGATCTCTCCTGCCTCTGTGCTGTTCCCTCAGCCTGCGAACTCTCAGTTCTGGAGCTATCAGCCGCAGCTTGAGAGAGAGTTACCGTATACTGCAGCTGCCAGACGATGGAGCCAGCGACCCCTCTCTATCTCTCTGTCTGTCTGTCTGTCTTGTCAGTCTAGCATTTGGACACTTTCTGGTGTTTGGTTTGATCATTTCTTTCTAAAGAAGTTATCTATCTATCTATCTATCTATCTATCTGTCTATCTGTCTGTCTCTGTCAGTCTAGCATTTGGACACTTTCTGGTGTTTGGTTTGATCATTTCTTTCTAAAGAAGTGAAATTCATACACAAGAGTTACTCTGATTTAATTTGAATTTGTTCAACTCAGTTTAGCTTTATTTTGTCATTTCCTTATATTTATTTGCTGTTTGCATATAGGCACAATGAGCTGCTGGATGTTGTTACGATTGCACAACGGGGACCTCCGCAGATCTCTCCTGCCTCTGTGCTGTTCCCTCAGCCTGCGAACTCTCAGTTCTGGAGCTATCAGCCGCAGCTTGAGAGAGAGTTACCGTATACTGCAGCTGCCAGACGATGGAGCCAGCGACCCCTCAGAGGTCAAGGAAGCTTACCTACGCATGGCCAAGCTCTACCATCCAGATTCCGGTGCTCCCACGGCAGACGCGGCTCTGTTTTCCCAGATAGAGGAGGCCTATCGGGCTGTTCTTGCCCACCTTGCCCAGCAGAAGTCGGCCTCACAGTATACCCAATTGATGGAGGAAGAAGAGGAAGATAAAGTTAAAGGTAATGCCCCTCAACACAGACATTACCTCAGTTTTGAAGGCATTGGTTCTGGCACTCCAAGCCAAAGAGAACGACAGTACCGACAGTTTCGTGTAGACCGCGCCATCGACCAGGTCCTGGAGTACCGACAGAAGGAGATGGAGAAGGCAGCAGCAGACGAAGGAGCCATGGTGACCCGAGATGCACGTTTACGCAGCAAGCAGATCAAAATCACTCAGGCGGTGGAGAGGCTAGTTGAGGACCTCATCCAAGAGTCGATGGCCCGTGGAGACTTCCAAAACCTCAGTGGCACCGGAAAACCACTCAACAAGTTTGATCATAACCTGTATATGGACCCCATGACGCACAACCTCAATAGAATTCTCATCGACAACGGTTACCAGCCTGAATGGATCGTGGTACAGAAGGAGATCAGGGAAACCATTGCCAAAATGAGGGAGAGGTTGCAGGAGGTCAGGGCAAGGCTGGGAGATCCCATGAGACACTCAGAAACTCTCCAGTGGAAGGAGCACTGCGCTGCGTTTGCTGATGAACTGGGGAAACTCAACAAGAAAGTGGACAATTTCAACCTAATTGTGCCTCTCATGAGCAGGCAAATGGTGCATTACAGCCTGAAGAGAGAGCTGGAAAAAATACTGAAAACTGATCAGCTGCTCAGGCAGGAGAAAGAAAGAGAAAAAGAAAGGAAGCGAAAGGAACAGATGGAGACAGCAAGAACATCTCAGCACACCAGACAAGGACTCATCACATGGATTCAGAATCTTCTTAATTGAGGCTACATTAAAATGTGGAGTTGTATTTCACCTGTCGGACTATTATTAGTGTGATTAAGATTATTTTACCCCTTCCTTGTTCTTTTTATAACTGTAATACAGTATGAAACAAGTATTGTCTGGTTTTATTAAAAACTGGCAGAAAATTAAAGGCAATAAATATTACCATGGTGATGTATAAATAGTTTACAAAAATTTACTAAAAAGGAAAAGTATTTCTATCTATCTATCTATCCATCCATCCATCCATCCATCCATCCACATATTATTAAATATATTATTTAAATACAATTATAAAATTCATTTTCTTATTACAGAATAAAATATTATTACAAATTACATTAAAAATTAAAATCTATTTTTTTTTATTTTTTACAATGTAATTGTTTCCTGTGATGGCAAAGCTGAATTTGCAGTATTACTCCAGTATTTATTTTATTTTGGGTGATATTTAAAAAACTGGCAGAAAATTAAAGGCAATAAATATTACCATGGTGATGTATAAATAGTTTTAAAAAATTTACTAAAAAGGAAAAGTATTTCTATCTATCTATCTATCCATCCATCCATCCATCCACATATTATTAAATATATTATTTAAATACAATTATAAAATTCATTTTCTTATTACAGAATAAAATATTATTACAAATTACATTAAAAATTAAAATCTATTTTATTTTATTTTTGACAATGTAATTGTTTCCTGTGATGGCAAAGCTGAATTTGCAGTATTACTCCAGTATTTATTTTATTTTGGGTGATATTTAATATTAATTATTAATATGAACAAATCAATTAAATCATTTGGCAGATAAATATTAAGAAAGAAAGAAAAATGTGACACTGACGATTTTGTCCACAGTCTCTTGAGGGCAGAGTAATTATTTTGTTTCTGTGGAGTTGGCAGGAAAACTTGCCTCATTGTCATTCCAGTCATTCATGATCAAGCATGTAAGGTATTCTTGGAAAATCCTATTAGTCTTCTCAAACATTCCATGACCTTATAAATGCCAATTGAACATGATCATTTCATGACAACAAATGGCAACAGTCCAACAAAATCCCACAACTGTTGAAAGTTGGTGTTAGTTGGGACATTGTGAACTAGCCTTAAGACTGCAGCTGAGATGAACCTGTGGCATTTATAAAACAAAACCGACTGTAGAATTCAACTGTTTGATTTATTTTTGACGTAATTAAATGAACAACGGTGACATATATATATATATATATATTCAATTTAATAAAGCAGAAATTCAAACATAGAAATTACAGAAGTTACTGACAGTAATCTAGGTCTGCTCCTGCTCTCTTCCACTGTAGCCTGGAAGGTGTCCAAGAGCAGCTGGGTTGCTGATAACCACAGGAGATGCTATACTAGCCCAATCTTTAGCTATATACTGATGATATGGATCCTGTGAGTTCTCCACCTTCTTTGAGTGAATATAGCTGAACATGATGCCAAAGGTAAAGAAACTAAAGAGTCCCACCATCAGACAGATGTAGGTCATGCCGTGACCTTTATCTTGGACCGGAGCTCCACTCAGATGGACAGGTGGATGATGTGGTGGTGCATACGGAGCTGCTCCCACCAGCCATGTCTCATTAATGTAGTGCTGCAACCAGGATACCAACAGAGCGTGTACATCTGTGAAGTTCTGCTCTAGCATTCTTTCCACTGTTGATATAGAGAGTGAACTCAATGTATAAATACAGATATGGGATTCATCATTAGTTCTTTCCATAACTTGGTTAATTTATCTGAAGGAATGCTATATACATGGTACTATATAGCCAGATATATTTCCACTGTTATGCTGATGATACGCAACTATATATCTCAACAAGACCAGATGAAACTTCTAAATTATCTAAGCTAACAGAGTGTGTTAAAAATGTAAAAGATTGGATGACCAATAATTTTCTCCTATTAAATTTGGATAAGACAGAGATATTACTTATTGGACCAAAAGACAGTACACAGAATCTCTTGGATTACAATTTGCAACTAAACGGATGTACTGTTACTTCCTCTACAGTCAAAAATCTAGGTGCAACATTTACTAATGCATTATTAAAATCCAAAGTTGTGCTTGTTAACATTAGTTAATGCACTGTGAACTAACAAGAACTAACAATGAACGACTGAATTTTCATTAACTAACATTAACAAAGATTAATAAATACTGTAATAAATGTATTGTTCATTGTTTGCTCATGTTACATGAACTAACATTAACTAATGGAACCTTAATGTAAAGTGTTACCAAATTAAAATATTTCTTTTATTTTTATTATTGTCAAGTTTAACATCATTGGGAAGGCAAAGCAGCCAACAGGTCCAGTATACAATATAAATCTACAAACTGATATTTAAGCAAGTGAGAAAGGTATGTAATATAAAATCAATGTAACAGACATACCTTTTAGTTATTGGTGCTAACAGGAAGTTTTAGTTTAATGCAAAAGCAGCCAAAAAATGTTTCGTGGATCTTTCCTGCTAGTCCCCTTGTTGCTCTCCTAGAAAAAATTCACTAAGGAAGACAGGACAGTATCTGAGATCATGGTTCCACCCCATTATGAACATAGAGACTTATTCACAAGGATCCAACCCTCTCAAGATGTCAACAGCTTTAATGAATCTAAAACAAGTCAAGGTCATCAGCTGCTTCATGGGGAAAAGTCTGGGTCTGAACAGAAGGCCAGCTGACCAATGACGTGGTCAGATCCTGCGCCGATCAGCCACAGCCCTAATTAACAGTCAGTGTGGGAAAGAATGATATTTTTGAATGTATCTTTTTGACTTTAACAAGCTAGTTAAAAGATATCTTGGTGGAGATGGCCATGAGTCACTGGGGACTGTAGATATTTCTCTCAGCTCTGCCAGCTTGACCTTGATGCTGAATAACTCCACACGCAAGTGGGAACAATGGTTTACATTGAGATATTCAGACATTCGAGACTCACAGCTTCTATTTCAAGGCATAAATAAAAAAAAGACACATCACCTTGAAAAGTCCTCGACTTGCGTCAGTACTGCGATACCAGCATACTGGATGAATGCTGAGTCATCTTTTGAAAATGGCTAAATGCATAAAACTCAAGAGGCATGTGGGCTGAAAGTCAGAACACTCACAATTTCACAGACTAAAATACTGTTTCGCTTTTTAAAAAAAAGGTAGGACAGCACGACTTTGAAGAAGAAAAAAAAATTGTTTTAATGACATGTTATGGCTGTTATTTATGTATGACAGGACAAACACCCAAGCCATTGCCGAACCAGTGACAGTTTCAAAATCAAGTAAAAAAACAGCATATACCATTATATACAGACATCTATGGTTACGAAATCTATAGACATATATGTTGTTAATTATATACAACAAACAGTAAAAGGCATCAGAAATACACTATTGAGCTCAATGTAATAAAATCAATTGGTGTTCATCCTGGTAAAGAGTGTAACAGTCCTCCATCAAAACTAATTACAGTGTTATGGTCCTACAAACAATTCAAGCGCATGAAATTGAGGACCTTGCCTTTCAGTACATCCTTAGGATTTTAAAACAAAGTTTAAACGATGGACTCTTGTATAACTCTCTTTCCCCCAGAAAAAAACCCAAACAAAAACATGAATCTTAAGCTGTAGATATCTAGTCAAATTTTTTTTTTTTTTTATACGAGAGCACTTAATCGTGATTCTGTAATTTAGGAACATGCTGAGGCACATGGTGGAACAAGATTTACAATTGCCATATGAATGGGAAAAAATAGCCCCCCCAAATTTTATGACAAAATGTTTACTTCATAGTCCGTATTTATTCTAGTTCAAGTTCCAGTAATCTTGCACGAGTATTAATTCAATAAGAGCCTGAAAATATCAAGCTAAAACTAAAAAGAAATCTAAACTAATCATATTATCACACTCACTGACTGGGATTCAACATGCTTCCCAAGATACAAAAAAACACTACACAATAGGAGACTCATGTTCTCCATGGCCACAGTTACCAATGAAGCACTCTTGAAAACCCCCAGCCTGCAAAAAAATGAGTCACTCTGCCATCAAATGCATGCAATGAACCCCTTTGCCCTGATGGTGGACATTTACATTATGTCTCTGTCTCTCCACAGGGCTGAGGTTCTGTCTTAAGGCGTCCTCTGGTGGTCTGGAGGACCAACTGCATGCCACGGCAGATCCCCCAGAGGGTCCTGTGATAGTAAAGCAAAGATTATGGCACAATGAGAGGTTCACTAGGCTCACTGCATGACAGAGGGAGTGTATTCTGGTCGACGGGTCTGGATGATTTTTGGACGTGGACGTCTGCCTCCGTCCATATCCTCCTCATTTCCTGAGATTTCTTGATCGTTTTCGCAAACATGGACAACCACGCTGGGAGTGGTGGGAGTTCCTGGTTGGAGTTCATACTTTTCACCTGTCGAACGGAGAGAATTTATTATTAGAAGTTGAAAGCAGGTCAAATTAAATGAATAATTTATGCACTGACCTATTTTTTTTTTAAATGGTACATTCAGAAAAAAGGACTAAATTTAGAAACATGTTTCATACCTGGCCCTAATCTGGCGATGGCACACAGTAGGTCATAGTTAATGACAGGTGTGGCGTCCTTTGACTGCTCCCAACCAACAGGAGGTGACGGAGGAGGGGACAGGAGGAACTGCTTATCTGGTTTAGGAGGCTCCAGGTGTGGGCTGCCAATGTGCACAGACTAGAAAGAAGGCAAGGTGGAAAAAGAAAGATTAGATTTTTTTTTTTTTGGTGATAATCAGTACACTGTAGCACTAACTAGGCGTGATAAAATAAACCGTAACAATTAAAGAATAATGTACAGTCACAATTGGTCATTATTGCTAAATAAAGCCTAAATAATGCAAAAGTGGAAAGACATTACAGTTTTGCAGTGATTACACAATTACTTGACTGCAGAATGCCACGACTGACAAATAAGGATCAAGAAAGAATCTTTTGAAATAATAATAGAAAAATAAAATGAAAAATAATACTATATTTATCATAATACATAATACAATTTTATAATAATATATTTTTATTATTATCATTAATTATTTTGTTGTTTTGTTGCACAGTTATACAATGAGTTGGTCATTATTAAAAAAATAAACCCTGATGCAAAGTGGA